ATATAGCCTAGCTTTATTATGTTTTTCTCCGCTCGCAGAAGCGCATTGCATGATGTGATATGATATGAATCCTTATGTTCTGTTGTTTGCTGCGTTTTGCGCATGTAAAATGAATCCCCAGAAAACAAATGTTAGTATTTTTAACGGGTCACAGACACTTATCCTTTCTAATTTAATTCAATTCTAATTTAAAATAATCTTGTCGGTTAACAGTTAATAATCGGTTAACGAGCGTCGGTTAGGAGAAATAACCGAGATGAACATCCCTAGAAGAAGCATTTGTTAGTTTCCTTATCCTAATTTTTTATGTGTTTGTGCATAATTTGTATTATGTTTTTGTTTATTTCCCAGAATCTGTCGCGGCTACACCAATTTCAAAGAGCTGTGGTCCTTTCTCACCCCAGAGCAGTGACAGCAGCGCCAACAGTTCCCTTTATATGGAGTCTAGTGAGTGAATGCATCTTTCATCTTTCTTTGGGTCAATGGCATGATGCTCGCTATCTATGATTTTATTAAAAAATACATAAAAAATGCAATTCATGCATACGAAGACCTAAATACACCACTTCTTTGAAGAGCATGTTTTATTTCAAATTTATTTAAAATAAATAAATAAATGTATTTTTTATTTCAAATTCAAATATTTTTTGTGAGCATCAAGTACAAATTTTAGGGTGGTACAACTGTCCGATGTTATGAAGAAAGAATATAGTAAAACTTTTGTCCATCTAATCAAAGTCATGTGGTACAACCAACATGCTGAATCATGCTGAAAAAAATTTAAATATATTCAAATATCAGATAATTTGACCTTTTTATGACGGCAAGATTAGTTCAGGTTGTAAAATGTCTTGTGGTACAACTGTACTGATATTGTAATGAAGAAAAAAAAAAAAAAGTGTAGTTTGGCACAAACTTTTTATATATAAAAAAACCCCTGCTCTACTGCTTATTAATTTAAAAACTTTGTCCATTTAATCAAAGTCATGTGGTGCAACAAAAAAGTAATGTGGTACAACATGCTGAAATATGCAGAAAAAAACTGTCTCTTAAAAATATCAAATAATTAGACCTTTTTATGATGGCAAAATTAGTTTGGGTTATAAGGAGTCATGTAGTACAACTGTCCTGATATCATAATCCCCCTCCCCTAACACTGTAATAACTGTCGATGACGCACCGGAGCAAATATGTATGGCTTTGTAAATCCAATTAAGCTGCTAGGAGCATCCATTCAGGTTGTAGCGGTATATAACAGTTCAAAGGCAGCAGCTTTCCCGCGAGTGGGCGTGGTTTCAGCGCAGACAGTGGACACGCCCCCAGCGTTTGAGAGCAGAGGATACCGCCCATTTTTTCGAGATTTTGATCACTTATTTTATGTACTTAGCGGATTTTTTTATCATTCAAATTTGGCTTAGTGGTTAATAATACATTTTCTGTGGTGTGACAAACTCAGAACACATACTAAATATTGACTTTACAGGGACTTTACAGGTGCATCTCAATAAATTAGAATGTCGTGGAAAAGTTCATTTATTTCAGTAATTCAACTCTTTAAAAACCTTTGTGAAAATAATGATTGAAATTGGTATAAAAGTTTTCCAAAACACTGCAAAACAGTTTCTACATTTCTAACAAGATTTCCTTTTCTTCATCATGGACACTTACATACCTCATTATATCATATTTTTAAAATAATCATCTTCTTAAACGTGCCTTCACGCTTACAGACAGCAGCCAGTACAACAGCGTCCCAGACGGATTGTTCCGCAGACCATCCGAGGGTCAGAGTCTGATCAGCTACCTCTCTGAGCAAGACTTCGGCAGCTGTGCTGATCTGGAGAAGGCAAGTGCAAACTCCTCACTATGCTCAGCATCTCTCTTATATCTTGTACATGTCATTCATAACTCGCATACATATCCCATCACCGCAGGAAAACGCCCACTTCAGCATCTCTGAGTCTCTGATTGCAGCCATCGAGCTGATGAAGTGTAACATGCGCAGGCCGGTGGAGGAGGCGGAGGAAGAGGGCGACAGTGACTCGGAAATCCAGCAGCTCAAACAGAAAATCCGTCTGCGCAGACTGCAGATACGCCACGCGCGGATGAAGCCACCGGCCTCCTCTAGTAATCGTAAGATGAGACGTTTGCGATCGAGGAGAAATCAAATGTAAACAGGATGTATACAGTGTATATCGCTTGCTTTTTTTCCACAGAAATCCCATCTGTGGATAGTGGCGGCTCACGGAGGAGCTCCCAGGATTCCTTTCACCCCTCTGACTCTGGCTCTGATAGAGACGTGGAGGATTTCGAGCTCAAAGGTAGGAGCTCAAGACAGGAAGTGCATCTCTGATTGCGATGACCTCATTCCCGCTTGTAATCGTATAATCATCCTCACGATTGCCCTCATTACCCATAATGCCATGTGAAGAGAAATGTGTTGGCATCCCAATCTCATGACTGATTTCTAACTGATTATGCTCATTTTTGATTCCTAATTTGTAACTTTGAATCAAGTTTTGCTTGATTTGTTTGTGTTTTAGCAGGAAAGAGCAGAATAGTCATTGCAGGTGTTATAATTCTTAATTCATTGGACTTCAGTACGCAAATCAATTTGAAATCAAAATTAACAGAGTTTACTTTAACACACGTTCATATACAAAAACCTTTAAAAGTGGGTGCAGACGGTGTTCAAGTGGTGAGATATTCACTCCAGTTCTGGGTGAATAAAGTTTTGTTCATATGGTTAAAAAGCTTGTAATTGACACTTGGAGTTGTCACAGGACTGTATTGAAAATGACATTTGCAACACTTTTAACCTTCATAATGTGACATTTCCAAGAATTATTGAAATATTTGGCTAGAAATAATGTATTGTGGGACTTATGGGTAATATATATAAAATGTGTTGCTAAATTTTAATAAAACATAAAACAGTCATATTGTGCAACCAAGAAGTCATTTGGTATAACCAACACACTCAAACACATAAAAACAGTTCCTTAAAAGTTTGGATAATTCGGCTTTTTTATGATGCCAAGATTAGTTCTGGTTGTAAAATGTCATGTGGTGCAACTGTCCTGATATAATGAAGAAAGAATGAAATGTAAAACAAAAAACAAAAAACCTTCATGATATTACATATTTCAAAGAAATATTTGGCTAGAAATAATGTATTTTGATTCTTATAGGTGATATATCTAAAATTTGTCAATAACTTTTTTAATAAAACATAATAATTTTTATTTTTTATTTTTAATAAAACATTTTTAATTGCAAATATTATAGTCTAATATAGTCTCAATATTTATGTACCTGCTATAAAATGTATTTTTTTGGCTAATGAACACAATAGAGATATTTGTTCATATTTATTTTTATGAACAATATAGTAACTTATTAATAAAGATCAACATATACCTTCAAATGTTTTTTCCTAAAATATTTTACATATTTTTACAACATAAAATGCAACACAGATTTTACAGAAATGAATTGTACTTAATAAATCTGTCACTATTTTAGCTCATGAGGTATGTATTTATAACATTTGTAATAGATACACTACCGTTATTAAATTTGTGGTCAGTAGGGTTTTTTAAATATAAAAATGTATACTTTTAAAGTAAAGATATTTATAATGTTACAGGTTTCAGTTTCAAATAAATGCAGCTCTTCTGAACTTTCTATTCATCAAAGAAAACATTTAAAAATCTTACTAAAACGTTTTGATTAGTTGTGTATTTTTTAAATATTTAAAAAATGTAAATATTATAATTTAATATTATTATAATTAAAATATAAACTAAATATAATTTTTGAATAAGGTTCAGTTTCTGCATTGATGGATGGTGACCAGGACATTTATTAAGAAAGTGAATGTGGCCTGTTTAGATTTCATGTTGTCTTTATACATTGTACGACACCAGAAACAGGCGTCTGTTTGAGCACACAGTCTGGTCTCTGTCTCTTAGATGGCAGTGATGGTCAGTCCCTGCTGGCGGTGTCTCAGAGCGGCCTGTCCCTGTCACTCGCGTCCCTCTTCTCAGGTACCAGAGACTGACAGAAAGAGGGAAGCCGTGTGTATCGTCTCACAGCCTTTGCTGCTTGATCAGTGATAGATATGATGGTGGGATCAGAGGAGTCAGATGTTTTAGACTCTGTAGCAGTAGTTGGTGGCTGTTCCTGCTTTTTCCTCGGCTTTGCCTGTTCCCCTCACATGTGTCCATCCCATGTGTCAATATGTGTGCCATATAAACCTCTTGTTTGCATGCCGCCGCTTTCTGGCTTTTATTTATTGTATGTGCTAATAAACTGCAACCTTTAACACTGCTTCCTGCATTATGATGGGTGTCTCAAAAGCATTCAAAATTATATAATATTATTATAAGAATGGATTTAATCATGTGCCTTAATCACTTATGTGTAATACTAATCATTAAATCTAAATATTTCTTATCTTAATGCTTTAATTCATAGTCAGTGCCATGAATCACCTATCTGTCTTTATCAACTTATGTAATATTAGGACACGGGGCATTTGGGAAATAAAACCGATCAACCTTTTGCTTAGTTTCACCCGACATTTTGGCTTTTTAAAAAAAAAACACACATATATATACAGAAATATATATATATATATATATATATATAACAAATACTTAAAATTATATTATAATTATATATTATTATAACTTTTATTATTAATTATATTAATATTATTAATTTATGTAATATTTCTGCAATTTATTGTATTACACATATAAATATTTCATATATTCACAAAATATTTTATAATATTTAATTATTCAGAGTTCTCCAAATATTTTAGGGATGCTAACTGTTGCTCAGCCAAGCAAGCAATAATGTAAAAAAGCCAAATAATGTCTGATGTATTGGTCTGTCACTGGTATATAGCTCTTCTTATACAGTAGATCTCATTGGAGAAACCATTAATTGTTTCTTCTCGTGGTTCTCAGATGCAGACATCAAACGCAGTGCGTCCAGCAGCAGATCCTTCCTCAGCTCAGACTCCATGTAAGCACATCTCAAATCTGTCTTTTTGTTTGGCCGATCTTTTTGTGGTCATGACGTCCAGTTTTTTGGAGTTCTGAATGGTATCCAGAACTGATTTGGGATCTGCTGTAATGTCTCTCTGTACAGCTCTCCATCCATGTTACAGTCCAACTCAGCAGAGTCGGTGGCGATGGGTCTCCTCAGACAGTTTGAGGGCATGCAGCTGCCCGCCGCCTCAGAGCTCGACTGGCTGGGTCCAGAGCACGACGCCCCTCAAAAAGTACCTTACTCAAATGTCCTTGAATGTCCTTTTATGTGGCTCGACTGGCTGGTTCCAGAGCACGACGCCCCTCAAAAAGTACCTTACTCAAATGTCCTTGAATGTCCTTTTATGTGCTTGAATGTACTTACTCAAATCATTTATATAAATAGAAAACAAAATAGGTCCTAAAAAGGAACCCTGGGGAACCCCTTTAAATATATCAAGAAAATCAGATTTGAGATCCTCCACATGAACACACTGAGTCCAGTCTGCTAAATAATTTCTAAACCATTTCAACGTCCCTGGTCCAAAACCAGCACTGCTGAGTTTGTTCAGCAGCAATTCATGATCCACTGAATCAAACGCTTTGGATTGATCCACAAATAAGGCTGCGCAGTGTAGGGATGGGCGATATGGGCTTAAAAATATATCACGATATTTCTGGTATTTATTGCAATATCGATGACGATAATTCAGGGAATCCTGTTTCTTTAGAGAAAAGTATTATCTTTCCTATTTTTACCCAAAATAGGGTGTTGTGAGCATTAATGAGTACACACGTAATGTAAAGACTGTTTAATTCATACTGGAAGCTGGGGGGACAGAAACTCCACATATCCATAGCAGAAGTAATACTACTGAGGACGCTCCAGGAAGGTATCCAGTTATCGCTGAATAAAATGCACAACGGAGATAGAGACATTTTAACAGATGAAACTTGAGGAAAATAAACATATGGTTGCACAAAATATAGGGTTTATCTGTGTTCTTCAATCTTGGGTATTTTTATAAGGAAAGTATATTTATAATGCAATGTTAATCGACATGGCCTTTATCACTGTATATAATACTATTATTCTGTAATATGAAACCACGTCTGGTCACAAAAAGAAGTATTTCAAACACTCGACTATGTTATTAAGTTAATTTGGAGAAAAAGCATGTCAATAAATTATATCTTTGTTGGACAACAGGTTTGTAAACAGGCTCATACACATGCAAAACTGTATCGCACACGTGCTACTGTAGCACATACATTTATTCAGACCGATTTTTTGTGCACCGTACAGCCCTAACCAAACCAGTTAAAGATTGTAAAAGGAGCTTGTGCTCCTCATTTAGCGATATAGGCTACTCCTCCTCAATTTCACGTCCGCCTTCCGCGATGTCGCTCCACACTGTCGCACACAGAAATGTCAACTACTAGACTTTATCGTTATTATCGCGGGAAGACTAATTCTTATCGTGGGGAGAATTTTTACCGGTATATCGCAAACGATAAGATATCGCCCATTCCTAGCGCAGTGCTGTTTTCTATCCAGGGCACCAGTAAGGTCATTTATCACCACCGTAGCAGCAGTAGTGGTACTATGGCCAGTTCTAAAAGCAGGCTTAATTTAAGGCATCTTTACACAGCCAAGTTAAGGCTGCTCTGTGCCTGCTCAAAATTCAGTGCAAAGACGAAATGCTGCATAAAAGCCAGACTAAATTAAGCCTGATCTGAACCATCTTAGCCTACAGTCGTATTACAGTTGTATTTGTATCTGTGTAAATGCATTTATGCCACCTCTGAGCAGCATTAAACAGTCTGTGTAAAGACGCCTAATACCACTTCAGAAGTGCTTCTATGCCAACTTGCAGTGTAAATTTGACATTTTACAGTACACTGAATTTTGAGCAGGCACAGAGCCTCCTTGGGGTTGTACTGAAATGTTTCGTTACTAATTAAATATGTACTAATTTGCATAGCTTTCCAGAACAAAAATCTGAACACTAGATAAAGCCGGGTTCAAAATTTTTGTTTAATTTTGATGACATATTAGAGTTAACGGTTTTGGAACTTGGATTTCTCTTTTTATGCTTCCATAAATCAGAAAATACTGTCAACAGACAGAAAAAAATACATTTTCACCAGGTAAATTATATATGAACAAACCTCTCTGTAAAAAGCTTCAGAATATAGATGGGAATAAAACCGTAAAATTTGGTGTATGCGAAGTGGTGCGAAGACTTTAAAAGTATGTATTGTAATTCAAATTTACAGATGCAAATAGATCAAGTGTAATAAAATAAACACTTAAATGTTTATTTTTGATGTTTTCTATCCACTAGTCTGAAAGTAGACAAGGAAGCAAAACAGCCATAAAAACTAAAAATGTACAAGTGCATGAAAAAAAAAAAACCTGTACTGTCTTTGGATTTGGATTCTAAGTGAAAATGTCTGAATTTCTGCTGATTTTAGTATGTTTTTTAAGCTCCTTCCAATACCAGATTCTCTTCCAATTTCACCTGACGATGGCGAACACGCGGACATTTACAAATTACGCATCCGAGTGCGAGGAAATTTGGAGTGGGCTCCTCCTAGACCACAGATCATCTTCAGCATTCACTCTCCTCCAAAGTAAGACCATCACCATAAGTATTCAGCTTAATTTCTTTCATTACATGATTCTGTAACTTATATATTGTATGTCTCCATTGATCCTATCAGGAGGAAAGTGGTGGTGGCGAAACAGAACTACCGCTGCGCTGGCTGCGGCATTCGCATTGATCCAGGTAGAAAACACATATGCGTAGTACAAATACAACTTGATTTACTTGAAAGTGTGGGTTTATGCTGGTGATTTCTCTTTGTTATAGACTACATCAAGAGGCTGAGGTACTGTGAGTATCTGGGGCGGTACTTTTGCCAGTGCTGTCATGAGAACACGCAGGCTGTAGTGCCAGGAAAGATCCTCAGGAAGTGGGACTTCAGTAAAAGCTACATCAGCAACTTTTCCAGGGACTTGCTGGCTAAGATTGCAGGAGATCCTCTTTTCAACCTAAACGACATCAACAGCGGCCTTTACAAGAAGGTCAAAGCCCTGGAAACAGTGCGCGTACGTAAAATAGTACAATAATATATAACATGGAATATAAGTACATAAATATCTAAAAATTATATTA